ACTGACTAGAAACACATTTAAATTAACTGAAAAATAAAAACAGTGTATGTGCGCACAATTTTAATTCGTTCAGCCTCTTCAAACAATTTTGCCATGGCGCGAGCATTCTGCGTTACATCCGTTTTCGTTTTTTTCTTCTTACGAAACTCATTCACAAACATATCTCGCAACCTTTGCGTTATCTCGAAACCCCCAAGTGTCCGATCATAACTGCAATGAATAAAGAATCAAAACTGGTTACTATAAAAACCATAAAGGCTTTCAAATTAACCAAAAAAAAAAAAAAAACACAAAAGAAGCGCGCTACCCAATCCCGAGAGTTGTCATCATCGGATTCTTTTCCGTTCCTTGCTTTTCCGGTACAAGCACATACTCCAACACCGAAGCAGTCACTTTCGATGCACCAACATCATAAATCAGCAATGTTTGCGGCTTCTCAGTGATTTCACTCCTCCGAAATGCACCATAATTTAGACCGGCCGCCGTATAGTCGGTCATGAGCTAAACAGTCACGAATTATGAGAGAACATTCCCTCTGGTAATTTATATTGCATTTTGTAGTAAAGGCCATGTTACATTCATCGACTGCATCCAAAGGAATGAGTGACTGCCGTAAAACGTATAAATATTCGAATAGAGAAGGTCGAATAGAGAAGGTTTTGCGCAAATCTTGAAAAAAACCGTAATATTTGACTCTATTACCAGTGAAAATAATCCTACACGCAACCCAAGCAGCAACGCATAACAGAGTTGCGAGTGCGATCATGTGTTTTTGCGCAAATCTTGAAAAACAAATCGTCAGCAGTAAAATTAGTTATTGTTTTATAGTTTAACATGTGACCCTTATTAGGAACTTTTTATCTTTTCCTGCATATAGGAGGGAAAATGGGCACTGGTAGGGACGGCACTGTTGCGTTGTATTGCCGCATGAAATTTTAGTCCCCAGCATTTATGACACCGGAAATTTTGCACGTAGATGCTGCCGGCAAAACGCATTCGCAAGTTCGTCATATCTATATACGAGATACAGACATTTCTGAAAGCTGAATCCGCGCTTACAAGCTTGCGCATGAACATTAAACATTCTCACAAAATTTCAACTTCCTGTTTAGATTGGCTGCTGAGCAAATGGGTGCCAAAATTGTCCAAAATTGAAACTTCATTTGCTCATAACGCAAGACCGAGGCGCAGCTTGAAGCTGATTTTAAAAAGCTTCCTAGCTTGTCCGGTCCCCTAAATTGTCACTTCGTCACAAATATTTTCGATGCGTCCTAAGGCCTGACGGAGGTAAACTACAAAACTCAATTTAGGCATACGAACTCAAGTTCGCAAAATTATAGTCATCTTTTTATGCTAGTTCCTGAGTTGATGCAGTGTTGACGACGAATCCCGACACGCTCGTATGTATGAAATCTGAAATTTACAATATGCGAAAACGCACGAGGACAAAAAAGTCAAAAAACGTACTTGAAGAAGATTTAATTCCGCAATTTCTGTCGCTGCGACCAACGATCTTCGTTCGGTCTGAGTGAAAAAAGCGGGCACCGTGATTATGACATCTCGTACTGATTGCTTTGCGAATTTTTCCACAATTCTACGGCACTGCCTCAACACCATGGCAATCAGGGTTTCGACGTCAAAACTTTCACCATCCCTAAAACATTACATTTTGTTTGTATTAGCAAATAGATTA